TTTTTTGGATAAGCTCATTAATTATCAATAGTTGTTTTTTGCACTTTATGGGTAGGATTTAATTCATATAAACTAATAATATAAAAAACAAATACTATTGTTTTAGCATGTATTTACCATATTTTCCATCTTATATATTTTAGTTTTTTTTTTGAAAAATTAATTACATGCAATCATCATGATAGAATGTAGATTGCTCTGTAATATGCTCACTTTAGAAGGAGAGAGTTTAGGAAGAAGAAGAATTTTTATCATAGATTGAATGTGGCCATGTATCTGGCTTTATACAGACGAGATCACATAAGCTCACATATGGCATGTGCAGCTTCTAACCAACTTTGACACAATTAACTAACTATTAACAGAATTATTCTTATCTCTAATACTCTTCCTCAAACTGGAGCTTTTGTATACATCAAACACTCCAAGTTTGCTCAGTAGGAGATGGTGTTGTGCAACACCTAAGCCCTTTGTAAGTACATCTGCCAGTTGCTCTTTAGTGTTGACATATTCTGTGTGAATGAGTCCACCTTTGATTTGCTCTCTCACAAAATGACAGTCAATCTCAATGTGCTTTGTCCGTTCATGAAAAATAGGATTGGCACTGATTTGAATTGCTGCTTTGCTATCACAATATAGTTTTACAGCGTGTCAATGACCACATTCAACTCCTTTAAGACCACTACTAACCAAATGATCTCTGAGACTGCAGCTGCCATGCTCCTATACTCAGTTTCTGTTGAGCTTCTGCTCACATGAGTATGTTGCTTCTTGGACTTCCAAGATATGATTAAGTTTCCCAGCTTCACCAAATATCTTGACACTGACCTCCTAGTGTCGGGACGGACATGATGCCTAGTCTGAGTCACAAAAGGCTTCCAGTTGTGTGCTGGGAGTGCTGCTCAGCAATATCCCTTGTCCTGGACAACCCTTGATATATCTTACCAACCTTAGACCTGCTTCCCAGTGAGAAACTTTGGGCTTCTGCATAAATTGAGAAAAGAGTTGTACTGCAAAGCTTATATCAGGCTTTGTTGTAGTCAAATATAACAACCTCCCAATGAGTCTTTGATAGACTGTAACATCTTTGTATATAACATCATCTCTGTTTCCAGTGAGTTCATCATACTCAACTATAGTAAATTTCTTGTTTGGCTCCAAAGGTGTAGCAGCTGGTTTAGAACCACTTAAACCTGATTCAGATATCAATTCCAAAGCATATTTTCTCTGGTTGAGAAGAATGCCTGTCTTAGACCTCACTATTTCAATCCTTAGAAAATACTTATGATCTCCAAGGTCTTTCATGCTGAATTTGATGTGTAATGCTTCTTTTGTGTCTTGAATTAGCTTGCTGATGTTACTTATAATCAATAGATCATCAACATAAATTAGGACCACAACTACCTCAATGCCCTCCTTCTTGGTGAATAGAGAATGATCATAGGGACTCTGTGCATATCCTGCTTCAACCAGGGCATCAGTCAGCTTGAGGCTCCATTGTCTTAAGGCCTGTTTAAGTCTATACAAAGATTTGAGTAGTTTACATACTTTGTGCTCCCCCTGCCGTTGGAAACCTGAGACAATTGCATGTAAACTTCCTCAGATAAATCCCCTTGTAGAAAAGCATTGTGAACATCTATTTGGAACAAGGGCCAGTTATGAGAGATGCTGCAACACCAATCAATGTTCTCACAGTGACCACTTTGGCTACTGGAGAGAAGGTTTCTTGATAATGCCTGCCTTCTTTTTTATTAAAGTCTTTTGCAACTAGTCTTGCTTTGTATCTCTCAATGTCATCATTAGCCTTGTGCTTGATTTAAAAATCCATTTTGATCCAATGGCCTGCTTGCCTGGTAAGTCAACTATAATCCAGGTTTTATTTTGCTCCAAAGCACCAACCTCAACTTGCATGGCATCAATCTAGTGTTGAGAAGCAGATACTTCCTGAAATGTTGAAAGTTCCACAGCAACTGAAAAGGCTACTACATAGGATTGATATGTATCACTCATGTTAGAATAGGACATGTAGTTTGCAATAGGATATAGACAGCTAGAGTTGATTTTGTGAGGCATTATATAATCTGTTTCTCAAAAATAAAATAAAAATGACTTGTTTAGAAAAATTGACTAAACTTATGACTTGAAGAGAAATCGATTTTTCAAATAGAGTCACCACTTAATTTTTTAAAATAAATTAAAAAAACTTATAAATTTTTCAAAAAGATTTAAACAGAATAAAATCATTTGAAATTTAAAGGGGTTCGGGGTTCAGTTTACATTCCGAGAAGGTATTAGGCCCTTGGAATGTCCGCTAACTTGCGGTTGACCAACGACTTGACTAAAACATTTGACTAACTTGAAAAAATTAGTTACTATAAGGAAATAATGATTAATGAAAACGATTTAACTTAAACGGTTTGAAATAATTTAGAAAGGGAAACTTACTTTTGTCAAAAATGACTAAGCAAGACAAATTAAATAAAATCACTAAAAAGAGATTTAATTAATCCAAAAGGTTCCTCTTTAAGGGATTTAATTAAATTTAAACCAAACAAAAAAGTATAGAGTTAATACAAACAATAATAAGCAAATAATAATCAAGTAAGGAAGAAATAATTTCAAACTTGGGCCCTTTGCCCAAGTTCAAATTTTTGGGCTTGGCCCAAACCTGTCCTAAACTCTAAAAAATGTGCTAATGGCATAACATGGGCCTCAATCCTCCTCCATTTCTGTTGGACCTGTTAAGTAGAGAAAGAATGGGCTTTGGGCCCATTTTCATTCTTGATAATCCCTGTATACACATAATGCATACTGCTGCATATGGACTGTATATTAGCCCATTTTCCTGTATATCGAGTTATATACCAAATGCATAAAACCCATTTTAGCTCCAGCAACCTGTATTTCGATTTTTTGGACCTGTATATCAATATACTCCATGTATATCAGCATATACAGCTGTATACAGCAGGTATACAACTCCTTTTTGAGGTTTTGGAGACTTGTATTAGCTTCCCTTTCACTTCAAACAAGATGAGGTTGACTCGAAGAAATTTGACTTAATGCGAGGATGGAGTCCAATGGACTCGGAGGGTGTCACATGCAACAAAAAGGAAATATGTATATAAGTATAGCTCATTAACCTGTTTCTTAAAAAATAAAATAGAATAATATATATATATATATATATATATAAATAAATAAATAAATAATAGAGCATTAGGATAGATGATAAAGCATATAAGTATTATGCATCAGTGGACCCACAATGACTCGATATACATGTAGAAAATAAATTGAAATCATGAAGGAACTATTCCTAAATGAACACTAAACTAAGGACCATGTATACTATACGAGTGAAAAGATATCAAAGAAGGGACATAGTTTAAAAATGCCAACAAGCCATGCTATATCAAATGTAAATAAATAAATAAAAAGAAAGCATAAACAAGGCAGTGTCTAGAATTGATATTGGAAAAGTCTTAGTTTTAACTAAGTCTTAATAAGCATGCTCACTAACAAGTTTCTAATTTTATTTTATTTTTACTACAGACTATACTTAGTATTAACAAAAGGCTCTAATCAAATTAAAAGAATGTAAATTCAAGCTTAAGAGACCATTTTAGATAGAATAAAATTATGACAAAAACAAGACAAGCCTTTATAAATCAAACAGTGCATAATATGGAACAATCATCAAAATATTAGAAGAAACTACCAGCCCAATTCAATATTATGCATTGAAAACGAGAGAAAGCAAAACAATGAACGAATAAGGACAACACTCAGGTTCGCAGAAGACAATAAAGCTCAACTTACTCTTGACATGATAATAAGCTAAAATTAGCAGAAATCTGTAGCTACGAGTCAAACAGAGAAGTAATCGAAAACCAAAACTACACAGAAGACAAAACTCACAATGAATGATTCAGGCCAAACAACAGATAAGCTCAATATCTAAATCCAAATAAGTTTTAAACCATTCCGAGTAGAACTAAGCACAAAATTAGCCGTTTTCGAAATAAAATAGGCCCATATCAAAATCAAGAAACTAATCCAACGGCATTTCATTATTCACACGGTAGGCCGTCACTATTATGATTCAAAATGATCGAAGGGAGGGAAAGCGAAAGAGCAAAGGAAGATGTACCTCTTTTGGAGCAGCGAACCGAGCCGACAAGCTAAAGAACAGTGACTTCACCACAAACGGAGCTTCACCAGATTCCGACAAGATCCGACGAATTCGAATGAGAAAATCACTAAGCTTCCGAGCTCTTAATGTATGTTTTCTATAGCTATTTCTGGAGATTTTCTATCTCTAAATCTATTTCTTTTTTATGAAAATTCCCTCTGTTTTTAGATAGTGAATTAGCGTCTAAAAAAAATCCCCCCAAAACAGTAAAAGAGATGGGTATTTATAAGAGGGAGGATTGGAATTGAAAAGGAGGAAAACGGGATTCCATTTCGAATTTGAAATTCCAATTGCTCCTGGAGGATAAGGTTGAGGAGCTGGAATTCGTACTACTTATAACGGATTGATAAAGGGAGCCGTCCGATTTCTCGAGAAGGACGATCGAGCTTCGAGATTTCGACATCTATAAGGATATGAAAAATACCCTAACTTTGGTCGAATTTGTTGTTGCCATACTAAATTTTCATGAGACCTATTACCTCCCTAGACTATTTAATACCGTATTTTAAACATATATATTTGCCCACGTAGACATAAAAAATAATGTAAAATTATAAATAGCAATGTGTCCACGTGGGCACATATATACCTTTAAAATACACTATTAAATAGTTCAGGGGTAAAAAATATGATACTAAATAGTCTAGGAAGGTAAAGGTCCTCATGAAAATTTAGTATCGCAACAACAAATCCGACCAAAGTTGGGATATTTTTCAGACCCTTATCCCTTAGAATATGATCAGAATTTGGATGTCAAGTTTTTTTGAAACTTAGAGAAGAGTAAAAGGAAAAAAAAAAAAAGAAGTCTATATATTATGCATTTTTCTGGCCTTTTTTTTTTTTACACAACAAGCACTTTGCTGACTAAAAGAATAACAACAATCAAGAAAACAAAAATTTTCTGTTACAAATATATTATGAATAGAATAATGGTCTCAAGCAGTATCCTAATCTTTGTTACAAATATTATGAATAGAATAATCTCAAGCAGTATCATCTGGTGCCATAAGATAAATTGGTCTCTTGTTTTTTGATTGCAATGGCCTTCCATTCCTTTCAGCATACTGCATTCAAAATTAGATATAACAATAATCAGAGGCGAAATCAAGATTTTAAAGTTAATAGATTCTTACGATATCTCATTGTAATCTCAAGTTAATATACAAGTATATAACTAATTTTTTAATAAAATATTTATAGAAATTTAGTACATATAAATTGTGTTGGAGAAAAAGCTACAAAGTTCATATAAATTCATAAGCTATACTATAATAACTAGTGTATGAGCAAAGGACTGGTAGGAAATAAATCAAGAATAAGATTTCTTAGTAGTTTAGGATTTGTTATTTATAGTAATTTAATTATAGAATTCTTTAGTAGTTTAGGATTTGTTCTTTATGGTTCAAATATTGACAATGAAAGAAACTCACTCGATAAGATTGGACAATATAAATATTTACATGTTTGGTACGATATAAGTCATTCAGAAAAAAAAAAATCATGTTAAAGTCCATTGTTGGTGTTTGCTTACTAGGGAAACTAGAAAATGACTTTTCTCATTTATGGACCAAAGTCCTTTTTTTTATACATACCATAAATTTTATTCTCTTTGTGTCAATTTACATAAAGGTTATAAAAGTATGACTTTCAGAACACTTAATTTTAATCATGAATTTAGGTATAGATTCTTTAAATATTTTAAAACAAAATTTACTATATATCTAAAAGCTATACGAAAAATAATACTCCACTACAACTCCACAACAACTAATAATTCAAAATATTTTAAAGAAATTAAAATAAAATTATAATCTATGGAAAAAATATTTGACTCCCTAAATAATAACATCTTCGCATAAATTGGATGGGGAAGTAATTTCAATTGTTTACTCAAACATATACTAGACATAATATAATTATCAATTTTTAATCATGATTGGATCTACATATTTCATGCTACCGATTCAGCTGAATTCAATAATTTTAATATTATTCATGGAAATTGAGTTACATCATACCAATTAGTCAATTACCAAACATACTTAGCATAAAATAATTAAACAAAATCTGTTTATGGAGATTAGGAGAACTTACATCATGAACAGCTTCTCTAAGCATTTTGACTTGAGCTCTTGAAACAGTCCTCACCTAATATTGATTACAAATTGCATTAAAAATATAATTAGTATAAATCTTCGTTGTTAATTAATATGGACTTAATCAATATTAAGTTGTTAATTACCTACCTTTTTTTTAATTGTCCAAATGACTCCTTCAGTGCAAGGAGGAACAGTAAGTGAACCCATATATCTATAATATTTTCTACTACCAATCTTGATTTCTCTTGGATCAATCATACCAGCATTTTTCACTTCATCTTTTTTGTCAATCATAGATGATATATTTCTTATCAACTGCCAATAAAATCATGTGATAGTAGTATTATGTATACTAATACATATGACACAGACCTCATTTGTTGTCATTAAGGTTAAGATATTTAAATTGAAATATGCATCTGAATATGATAACGTAGTAGATTTACCTTGGAGAGAAATCGATCAGGTTTACCAATTTTGTAGAGAACTCCAATCACAACAATTTTATTTGTTGCATTTTCATTTAAGTGTACCATGTGCATTTCCATGTCATACCTGTCCCAAAATATAACATTAAATAAAAGAAAAATGGTATAAAGTATTTCTCCTTTTAATACGTCTTATTAAATTTTACATGATGTAAATCTGAATTAATCGTGTACCTTCTTCCGTTGACGGTGTGTTCGGAAGGAGAGTGCCAATGAGCTTGTTGTAGTGGATAATTTGTGCCATTTATTGAAACAGATCCAGCATCACCATGCCATTGTAACTGCACTCATATATACTAAACTTTATTATTTTTATGATTTTTAAAAGGTAATTAATTAAAAATTTGACTATTAATTAAAAATAAATTGAACTATATATAAGAGTAAAAGTGAAGAGATTTTTTTTTTAATTAACAAAGGTACACTTTAAATTCCTAGTGGTTTAGATCTACTAGCTCCATTATATAATGACAACGTGAAGAATATTATATTTTTGTTGAAGAATATTCACGATTACCACTGTTTAGCACTTTTTATAGCACCTTTATTTTACACTATTAGATTTTCTTAAAAATATTTATAATAGAAACGAATTCAAGATTTAAATTTTAAAATAACGCTTTTAAGAGCAAGTATCAAGTTTTATATATAACATTTGAATTAACACTATTGAATTATGTTGACCTTAATAATGGAAAAATTACATAAATGACAACTTAAGATATCATAATTTCTAAAATTCCTTATTATTAAAAAAAAATTACAAAAATACTTTCTCAGTTATATCTTTATCCCCTTTCAGATACATTCCTCTAATTAAGTAATGTATCATTTGCAATGTATCGTACAACCAAAAAATGTATCTGAGAGCAATGAAAAATTCAGAATTTTTATAATTAATTTTTTTTTAGAAATATAATGTAATTAGCCCCCAAATATATGAGATTTCTGTACTTTATACATATTAAATTCAAATGTATATATAGGGAAAAGAGAGGTCAAAAGTCGAGAAGCATCTTTAAAATTATTGAAGTACGTATAACTTTTGGGAACTCGAATAATAAAACATGATTGGCCCACCAAAATTAGAAATTTTGACTTTGGACTATCTCTTAAAATTGTTCTTTTTCCTATGAATAAACACCTCCTAACACAATTAATTAGTAGCTGTCAACAGCTAAACCTATATAGTATAAAAATGTTTAATTTCTATAAACAAACAGTGTGAAAAAATAATCTAAATATTATCTTGCTTATTAAGTTAATTACAACTATTTTTTTTTAATACAAAGTATTTTTCAAGTTGTTTAATTTCTTGGTAGAAGTAGCTAGCAACTTTATAATATTGTAATTTCATAAGTAAAATTTGAGATGAGTAAATGTACGTAAATCTTATCCTTATTTTTTTGCTATAAAGATCGAAAGACTGTTTTCAATAAATTCGAAAGAATATATACTCACCGAAATGTCATGTCCTCTATTCTTAACAGTAGCATTGCATAGCTTGTAATGTCTTTTATCTGGCTTTTGAATAATTCTAACTCTTTCATGTGACATATCAATAGGGGATTGCATTTCTCCATTATTACAAGCTTCCCATTCTTTCTTCAATTTCCCCCACATTTTTGGACCTTTTTCACTTTTTTCACCATAATCAAACTCCCTCTCATCCTCTAATAAAATCACAAATATCATAAACCAAATATCAATAAATCAAACTATATAATTACAAAGACATAATATACATAATTACAAAGAACAGTTCGATGCATTAAGCTCATAGTTCAATATAAGAGAAAATTTTAGCTAGGTTGTTGAATTCCTTTACATTAAGTTTTCAAATTCCTCCACTATAGTCTATAGCTTTGAGCAAGGTACGAGAAAATATCAGATCCCATTGAAACCTAATATATAAAGCCTTAGATCGATTCATTGTCATCTCATAACTTTCTCAAACCTTGCTCAAAACGAAAGGTTAATGCATTGAACTATGTTTTTCTTCTTTAATATCGAAAAAACAAAAGTGTTATAGTACTTACCAACTTCTTGAGCTTTAATAAATGTAGCGGAGAAGAAGATGATGATGAATAAAACAGGTAAATATCTTTGTTGCCTCATTATTAGAATTATTGCTACTTTTTTTCTTTCTTGGAGATGAAGAAAATGTAACAAATTTTAATAAGAAGAGGGGCACCTAGTTGGGCTTTTATAGTTGAAAAAAAAAAATAATATGGTGTAAAATATAATTTCCTATGTGGCTGCCACATGAGACTTTCCTATGACTTTCTTTTTTTCAAATCTTATTGGACAAATTAATTATTAATACCAACGACCACATCACGACAAATTAATAATAAAGAAAAACAACAAGTGGAAAAAGAGAAAAAAATGACAATATTGCTTACGTTTGGGTAGGGCTCAAATCAATATTTCAACTATACTCTTGAGTACATTTGATACTCCGCTCCCTCCGTCCCAATTTATATGATACATTTCATTTTTCGAGAGTCAAATAGTTTAAGTTTGACCTAGAATTTGCGCATGAAATTTTCAATTTTTTTTTAAATGAAATTTATATATTTGTAAACTACGTAAAAGTACTAAAAGTCACAATAATTGACAATCCAAAATATTTAAAAGATATATGAAAAATTTACAGTTGAAGATAAGCTTATTTGAATCTCAAAATCTGAAATGTGTCACATAAATTGAGACGAAAGGAGTACTTTAAAGTTTACCAAAAGATAAGCACTTTTTACTTTCGTCAAATATAATACTCCCTCCATCCCATTTTATGTGAGGTAGTTTGACTCGGCACGGAATTTAAGAAAGAATGGAAGACTTTTAAAACTTGTGGTCCAAAATGAATGATAGAAATTTGTGTAGCTGTAAATCATTTCATTAAGGGTAAAATAGACATTTTATAGTTGAAAAGTTACTTAATATAGAAATGTGTCATTCTTTTTGGGACTGACTAAAAAGAAAAGTAAGTCACATAAATTGGGACAGAGGGAGTAATTGATTTTGTTTGTTAAAGTTGAGGAAAACTACGAAAAAAAGATTTAACCAAAAGCTTAGATCGAAAATAGCATAAAATGCACCAAACTCTAGACACTAGATATCAAAAATTTCAAAAAAAAACTACAACGGCAAAGTGAAATCCTAGATTTCCTGTCTTTTACTACCTCATCTAAGGGCGGAGCTAGTCAGGTAGGATCGAGGAGGTTCAATCTCCTCCAAGCTCCAACACTTCATTTTTAGGCCAGGAACGAAAAATGAAATGTTGCTTAAAGCTTCTCTAGTAGTGAAATCCGGATGCTTGTAGCTCAACTATATTTAATCTCAGGAATCGATGTCCCAAAAACACTAAACTTATGCATATAAGTATATGTTAAACCATTTTTGACTTTTTCGTATGTTTTCTTCTTCATATTTTAAACTCTTTTAGTAAACATCTTGATTTCACTCGTTGATAAATTCCTTTCCAATTATAGGTAGCTTTTTTTTTTTATCTTTGTGTTAGAAAGACCATAATTGACAAAATCTAGAAGGCCTATCATTCAAGACTAGTCAACGTGCGTTGAATAGTATTTCTTATTTAAAAAAAGGTGTTTTAAATTCGAGTTTTCATATGAGTTTTAGTATAAAACATAGATTATTAAGTTTCAGAGTAATTATAAAATAATTACATAAAAATCATAACAAAGTTGATTTGTTACTAGTTAAAGCTTATTACAATTACAAATTATATTACACAATATTAATTTTTCTTTTATAATATCGACGTATATAATTAAATCTCTTGAAAATTATGTGTCAAATTCGATCGCCCAATAATCCTTAGAGATTTAAAAGGTTCATAAAAGCAAGATTAATGCCAGCTAAAAAGTATTAAAATGCACTAATAATCACTTCAATAATTAACGTAGACTGCACTAAAATCCAACAGAGAAAGGATAAATAAATGTTGAATACGTTCCATAAACATAAAGGGATATTTGATTGATGCATTTCCCTACCATAATAATTTATAATGAATCCAAATTAAGAATATGGACGACGACTCTTATATTCATGCCTATTACTATTTTTACGTGGGTTAGCTCTTGAGTATTTTAATAATATGACTTTTGGATAAATTCTTTTTTTGATGATATGGCTTTTGGACGAATTTTTTGTGGAACCTTTATGGAATTGTAGGGAGTTGGGAGAACAAATAAGTATTGTCTCACCATTTTTAGAGTGACTTTTGAACATTTATGGGCCAATTTATAGGAATTAGACGATCTTCTCAGTTTTTCGTGTGTGTTAGCCGATGAATATATTGGTAATAGGAGGGGTGTACAACATCGAACCGAAAACCGAACTAAACCGCAAATCGAGAAAAAAACCCGACTAGTGTTTGGTTTGACTTGGTTTGGTATTGAAAAAAAAAATCCGACTATATTTGGGTTGGTTTGGTTTTAACTAAAAAAAACCAACCCATTATATATATAATTTTAAAATTTTATTTTATACATAAAAATATTTACTTTGATATAATTTTTAAATATTTCTTATACTTTTTCATAGTTTTTATCTTTTAATATATTATTTCAAGTTTGAAACTTAGAATTCCGAATGGTTCAATAAAGATTATAGTCCACATATGTTGGTAATATAATAAAGCTTAAATCAAAATCAAATTAATACTAATGCAAAAAGAAAAT